TGCAATGTCCTTAAGAACGGTTTAAGTTTTAGAGTTGCTAGACAACTAATTTTAATTAATTTACCTGTTCAAGCGTTCAATGTAATCAGTCACCATGATGCATAAGTCATTGACATAAACAAAGGGAACAGCAATTCTTTTGATGCCATCTGCTGTTGAGCTGTGATACAATACTTGTACCGTCGTACCCCGCAGATTGTCCTTTAGGAGCGCGTCCCTTGTTTGTTGCATCTTGCGCTCGGAACTAATCTGAAAGGTATCAGGAAAGTATCTGCAGAAAAGGGTAAATTTATGAAATGTTGTTTGAATTTTATCAGTGTCAGAATTGTAAGTCCAGTACTGAAGGGGGAAAAACGTCAAAGAAATTGAATACACGTAAGTGTACGTATTGCAATGAATTCATTCACACCGTCTAAGCTTTCTTAGGTGCTCCCATGCTAGATGGTAATCACGCATCATGGCCAGAGTTGTGTTTGCTGATATTGGCTTTTCGTTCGTACCTTCCCGCCCTGCAAACAGGACGCTGGTCAGGGCTGATGAGCTTCACAGAATCTTGTGAAGGAAGTACAGATTGACCTTCGCATGCAGCTATAGCCCGCGCTATGCTTGATGGGCACCGGAAGCTAGTTTGTGTGACGCGTTCTACGTCACAGGTCACGCAAATCTATCCAATGAGAGCTCAAATGCGTCAGCCCTGACCAGCGTCCTGTTTGCAGGGCAGGGGTACGAGCGAATTATGGGCTTGTGCTTGCAATACTTAGCAAGCTCAGCTATGTCGTTGGCAGGCAGTGCTTGAACCTCATCAGCATGCTGCACAGCAGTTGACCCCTTGCTAATACTTTGCCTGAATGCTGCAATTGATGCTGTGCGTTGTCTCTTGTATGACCGCGTTACTGCATCACTGGACTTTGATGGTTTTGCCACTCGTTGTATGTAAGCCGGCAGAATTAGGTGAATGCATCCTTTGATTTGTAATGGTTCAATCGTCGGCAAAAGCTTATGTTTTTCTTTATTTTGCGCTGGATTTCTAGCGCACGACTTCGTATGCGACTACAGATAAGTGTAGGCAGGGCTAATATGTGGAGTGTCCAATCACACCTTGACAAATCCGGACGTCATCAAATTATTTGCGGCCATTCACCTTTTGCGGACGTGACAGGAACCACAGTTTGTGTGCATTGGTGCCGTGTGCAGAGACACACAACGTGTACGTGTATGGATTATGTACGGTGCCACGTTTCACTATGCAAGTTCCGACACAACGATCGACCAATAAGAAAACGACATTTAAGGTCAGCTATGGCTATTAACATAATGAGCACCATCCCCCAAACCTCGCATGGACGATTGAACCAAGGCGCTAGATTGAGTCAAACTGATTTGCATAAAAATTGTGGCCGCGTGAGTTCGCTGTTCGCGCTGTATTTTCAATGCACTGCATGCATAGACATAATGACTGCATGCATAGCGCTAGCGAAAATATCGTTTTTACCGCGCTACGGCCGGATGATTAACAACTAGCGCCTTGACCAAGGCTAATAATAAATGCGATAATCATGGACAGTATGAGATATTTTGACATGTGAAACGTGCAATGTAGTATTTGTATTAATGTTTAAACAGATTTTCCTAAACGAAGTACACTATAATGTGGATGTCTAAAGGTTGAAAGCATTATCCTTACCCGGCCACCAGTTTTAATTTTTGCTGTGCCATCTTGTACATTAGTACAATCGCGATTGTAATCCGTGCATACACGTAACGCATACACTGTATATGTACATCCCTTGTACAAAGTGAACAATTCATATCGCGCGCGCCAGATACGGCTCGTCGTGTTTAGTAATTGAACATCCTGCGATACTTACACACATGCGCATTGTGACAATGCCCCCCGCGGCGCGCTGACAGTTTCAAACTTCGTTATGTCCGCCATCATTGTTGCTCGGTGTAACGATGTTTTGCGAACCAGAAACAGCCTGTTTTAACAATGTCAGTATTTTTCTTATATCCATTTCAGAATAATACAGTAGTCTTTGTGCAGTGGAAACGTCTGAGGTTCTTCTGTACCGTCGAAATAAGTGAAATATATCCGTCCAAAGTTCGTGTGGCTGTGCAGGTTTCGTCACCGCGGAATAACATTAGTTTATACGCAGTTAACATGGTTAACATGGATGGTCAATGCACTCATGCAGTTTATTCAATTTATGTGCCTTGTTTATCGGGAGCGATTGAAATAGGTACAGGTCAGTTTAGAACTCTTAAAAGTTGTTTCTCTGATCACAGTTCTATATGTTCCGTCTTGGAAATCACGAGATAGGCCTTACATTTTCTGGACGACTTGGTTTCTGAATCAAATTTTTTCCCTGAAACTGCCCAAGTACTAGCACTAGCGCTGTATTTAGACTGGCACTGTGTCCATGTACATGTGCATGTACATAACTTTTTACATGTGCATTAAACTGATGTGCATGCACATGCGCTGTGAATGCATGTACATGTGCATATAGGCCCTAACATTTTATGTGTTCACGTTACAAACATCCATCCATGCAGGCCTACTTAGTAAAACTATGGCGATTTCAAAAGATTTAGTCATCTAATTTTTAATACAATTTGTCTTTGTTTTCAGTTTCAGGCTGACTGGCATGACCGGTGAGACCATTCCTCCATCATGTTTTTTTCTCGACACATTTTCATGAAGACAAACTGTAGGTCTGGCTATCCTGCTGGTTGTGCTGCTTCAAGGTAAGTCATCGTCCATGGGACAGCATGGACGCGATGGTGTTAGTCTTATCAGTGTGGATAAATTCCAATCATCATAATGACATTATTTTTGTACATTTACTATGAAAATAAATATTTAAATGTACCCACAATGTTTACATGTATGTCCAGTCCCCAAATTAACATGTCGATATATTTAGCTGTAGCAGTATTTTGCACACCAACTATTGGGTAGGAGTGGATTAGTAGGCCCCGAATGGGGGGAAATGGAAGTTGTGGGAGACAGTTGTGTCCCCCTCCTCCAGTCATTGAAGAAGATGATTGTGTATCATCAGTATAACACTGGTCATGAAATGATGGATAAAGTAAACCAGTGTCATGAACATACAGGCCCCCATGTTTTGGCCAATTCTTGTATGCTCCTTGTCTTTAATACAGAATATTTGCACTCATAATTTTCCTTTCAATCTTTGGTTGGTGTCCATCATTTTAGTGCAAGTCAGCGATAGTCTGGTTCCCAGACCTGACAATTATTCCCGACGCTCACGTCTTAAATTGTAGGTCAGGCAGCCTCCGTGGCTAAGAATAAGCATGACGACATTAATGGCCCTGTTTCAAAGCGCGGCTTCGTTTCCGATTTCGCTTTCTCTCTTGTAGCTTTCAATGTTCTGATCAAATTGTTAAATAAATCACTTGCTTCGTAATATCATACAGTTATGCATATGATAATACAGTTTGATGTTTTTGTAAGATAACATTGACTAATGTTGATCTGGAATCTTCAAATTTAAGGAACCAAATAGCACTGTTAGCAAGCGGAACCGAATGAAGCCCGAGTTTTGGAAAATATCGGTAACGGTCGTCAAATTCAAAATTGTACATGACGCAGCAAAAAGTTCGCCCGTACGATCCGAGTATATTTGATGCACAAAATCGTCGTTGAATTTCAGGTTTTCTAAATGAAAACAATGAATATTAATTATCAACTCATTTAAAATCAAATTAATAAGCAATTAGCAGTTAATTAAACCTATATTATATACTCGGAATTACTCGGGCGCTATCCGATTGTCGACGAAACGACTTCGGCAATCTTCGGAACTTTTCGGAAAAAGGAGGAATTCCTCCCGTTTTAGTCACGTGACGTAAATTGTAATACATTGTATTACCGGAGGCTACCGGACCTAAGATTCATCAGGAATAGTCAGAATCTTTTGGTCTGGGAACCAGATTAAGTCAGCGACAACCTTCAGTGACGGAACATCCATTACAAGGACAGACTGAGAGTACAGCTAGTATAAATCTTTCAGCCGATTGATTTCTTCAAACTGCACCATCGTACTTCAAATAGACTTCTTAAAGTTGGTTCAGTTAATTTTTTGTTTTATAGCTGAATATATACTGTATATTTAGCTATATATTGAGCTGGCAAAAGTCTTTCCGTGTGCATTTTGGATATAACGGTACTGTAAATTGACCACAAGAAGTAAATACATGTAACGACATATAAATTGATGAGTGAATTTGAAAAAATGAGGTAATTAACACACCGAATTTTTTTGTCGATGTCACAAGCACGTTTTAAGCCATTTCTTTTAATTATTAGAAATATATTTTAATTATTAGAATAACAAAACAAAATATATTTTGGAAGTTGACATTTCAGTGACAGATTTATGATTATTGTAAGAAGGGTTTGACCTTCAAGGTACAAGATTATCATGTACATGTTGGTTTGCTTTCGTCGATCACGGATAACTTTCTCTTCAAACACCAATCATTGTGACAAACTTGATTCTAGGCCCAACATGGCATGTCAAAGGCTACACGATGTAATGTATTTCTCACGAGGCTTGGCAATTGTATGCACATGCGAATGGAAAACCAATTTGAAAAAAATTGGATGGACTGAACAGTCACAAACGTGCGTTTGTAACCTGGAAAAATGACACACTATGGGGAACTCGCACTAAAACTACTACAACTAAACTAAACTCAGGATCTTTGAAGAGAAAAGTCGCGAGGAGACTGAATTAATAGGGACAAGGGACACAATTCTAGATTTCGAACAAAAAACAAACAAAAAGAATTTATTTACAAGAACTTTCAAAATGACCAGATAACTATAAAACCAAGACCACGAAAATCAAGTAAGAGCAAAGACTAAAAACCAAAACTTAAACCTAAAAAAAACCAAAGACTTAAAGAAACTTAAAAACCAACTTAAACCAAAGACCTAAACCGAGTTAAAAACCAACACAGTGTGTATATAAGTAGACCTTAAAGACACTTCTGGCAGAAAATCTGTAAAACAAGATAAGAGAGTAAAGAACATAATAAGAAACAGTAAACAATGCAAACAACTCAAGCTACACTAGGTCTAAAGTAATATAAACAATGCCATGTGGAACTACTATACAGTCTTGCCAAGAACACTAAAATTTCTCGTGAATACCTAATGAGCAAGATAAACAGTGGTCCCTGTCTTCTGAATGCCAGGTGGGACTAATCACCAAGGGGGTAATTCAACATTCCTGAACAGTAAACTTGAACAGGTCCAAAGCAGATAAGAATAACTAAATGGAACAGGTGGCTAAATACAAAATAAAGGAAAAGCAAATCTACAGTAAACGAACAGCTTGGACAAGTCTAACTAATGAATAAACATGGCAAACTAATCAGTAAGAAGTCTGTGGGAAAACCACTCCTCTTGGCTTTATACATGTACAATAAAACAATAAAGGTAATGAAGAAAACACCATCCAAAATACTGAAATCAGATGTCAAAAGATAAAGTATCAAATCAACAATTAACTTAATAATCAAAAGGCAATGCAATACATCCATCAACCACTCAAGAAAACCCAATTTTTTTCCTCCGAACTTACATCAAATGAACTAGATCAAACTGTGCAAAACTTGACAGAGCTGTAGACAATACTATTACTAAGACAGGTCTTTCAACTTCTAAAAACTTAATAATACACTTGATGATATTCTACATACATATAAAAACATATTTTCATAACAAAACTCACCAAAACTCGAGCAGAACAAAACCCACAGCGCAGGGCACACCCAAGAAATAGGGGAAAGAGAGGAGCTCAATAAAATACCCAACTCTCCTTTCTGCTGCTGGTCTGCTACTGAGGGGCTTGTGGTCTTACAGGGTGGCAGAGCACATGGGGCTTATCAAAGGGGCTATTGTTCTAAGGGGTCATGTTACTGGGGAAGAGGGAAACGTTAATCAGGGGTACACACTTCTATGAAAGGGTAGGGGACATCTAATAAAAAGGGGTGATTTATTCAGGGGGCCTACTCCTATCCTAAAACACTACAAAAAAATACAGTAAAAACTACAAGTAAAACTTGGCCCTGCCACACTTTCAACACTTTTACATATGTTGATCTTAAACGTCTTCTTTTTAGGATGTTAAAAACCTCAACATAGCGCCCTCATAAACGCATTATTGTGTTAAAGACTTGTTACATGATGTAAACACGTAAGTGCATACATAGGTTCAACATCTAAACACACTTTAAACGCCATTTAAAAACTTTTTAGGATGTTAAAAACCTAAACACAGTAATATTTACAAACGCGTTATTGTGTTTAAAAAGTGTTACAGGCTGTAAACGCGTCAATGTATTTATAGGTTAATTAAACACCTAAACACAATTTAAACGCTACTTAAACACTTTGTACGTTTTTAAATTAAACATCTTAAATACCGATAAACATGTATGTGTTTACTTCTTAAACAGCGACCGTTTTTAAATAAACGCATCATATGTTCCAATAAAAACATGTTTAAAGAATAAACTAGTGCTGTTTAACTGTTAAACACGTGTCCTTGTTCAATTTAAACGTGTTCATATTGTAAATGGAGTTTAGTTTAAAAACGCCTCCAAACGTTTAAAAAGTGTAACGTTTTGGTATTTATTCAAGTGTTTAGATCATAAACATCAGGTTTTACAGTGTATGTTCCATCTTCCACCTAGTCAACAGGCTGGCTGAGAAGGAACTTACCATTGTCCTCAATGGCATTACTCTCGACCGCAGCTTAACGTTTGGGCCGCACCTAGAGAAAGTAACAGAGAAGACATCAAAGAGAGTGAACATCCTCAAAAAGCTTGTTAGCACCCACCGAGGTGCTAACCTTTGCGACGCTCCACACATCTGCTCTTGCCCTAGCATACAACCGCAGAGTGGTTGAAAAAGTGTCTTCTCCGAGATTCATTTGCACAATGATTATACAGGGTCTCCAAAAAAGGTAAAAAAGAAAAGGGGACATAATAGTCTGACCAAACTTTATTCTGAATTAGCATATGGCTTTATCATTAATAAGGGACATTAAGCTTTCTATTTATATCTTGAATACATTCCTCTGGTTATGCATCACTGAGCTTCACTGCTTTGAAATTGGTACGTGAAAACCATTTGGGTAAAACATTTTGAACGCAACCAGTCATGCATACGACAAATATAGGTTTTCCCGGCCGAATTCGGCAAAACAGCAGTCAAATTCATTAACGTGCATTCGTTTCCGAACGATTTTTCTCAGCCCGTTTTTCTCATGATATATTTCAAAACTTTTAGCCTTCAATTCGCTTGCAGACTTTGAATTGCGTACTTTCATGCATTCAATTTTGAACTAGCTTCATTCAATTAGGCTATGCATACCCGTCATTCAATTTCGCGCCCGGTGACTAGAAGGAGAGTTCCCTCTTGAATTTTACTTTCGTTTCGTCTATGGGCAATCATTTTCGCACTTCGAGTTCTCAAGTTGGAGAAGGAAAGTACAATATTTATGAGGAAAACTGAAATGGACGATGCTTACATTGACTAAAAGGAGTTTACTGAATAATTTTGTCATTTTTACATACAACAAACACACCCACACACAGACGCGCTCATCTCATTGTTATACTCATGAGGACATGATCCTTTTGTTTGTACTTCAACTTTTTTTCTTTGTTTTGTACACGAATTCTCCCAAGGACCTGGGCCCAGGTCCTCGGGCCCATTAAAATCGCACACACCCCATTATCCCAAGTCCTAAGTCAAAATGGATAATCAACCCACGCAAGGCAGTGTATATTTTCCTGCAATCGGGGACTCCTATTGTCCCTCTTTAGTTTGTACATTAACTTTTTAGGAATACCTCCCCCATGTTTTATTTTTGGTCTTCTGTAGATTTATGCCATCCTACTGAATAACCACTCATCAGTGAACTACGCCACAGCTTGACAGCTAGACAGTAGCGTGATCCAGTTATGATCACATGACCAAGCAGACCGGACAGAACCATTATTTTACTGAGGTATATTTGATGTGAAGAACATACACTATGTATTAATTACTGTCAATTTACTGAGCAGTAATTATTTGATATCGCTTACTTATGCAAGTAGCTCGTTAGTGCACATTTGCTAAGACAAAAATATTAGACAAAATAAATTAATTATGCATCATTTCAAAATATTACCTAAAACGTGGTATTTTTGTTTTTGTTAACTGCGCAGTACTTGTAGGTATGATCATAACTGAAAAGGATGTTTGCGTAGGACATGTGTGACTTTCCTGCATTGGGCGTTGTGACCAAAGTTGAACATAATCTAGTTCATGTAATTAATTACAGGTTCAGATTGTGCATTCTTATGTAGCTAGTAAATAACCTGCTAGACATCCTGATGAGAAACAACGACAAAAAGCTAACTTATAACATGAAAGAAGTATCATAAAGTCTGCATTAACTGCGTGTAAAATGTTTCTTGCTATGTTTCTTTTAGGAACAAATTAGTTCGGCAAACAATGCTCTATAACTTCTATGGGTTCGGCTTTTTTTTCGTGTTTAACATGGCTATTATTATTAAGCAATAAATTAGGAAACCTGCAATATAGGTGTCGTTTAGAACTAAAGGGGGTCACGAGGGTTTAAAATCCAAGGGATCTATGAGCTTGCCAGTGGTTATGTTATGCGCCAGGATTGGCGTTTATATAGGCTAAATGAAAGAACTAACATCATGATTCTACAGGGACTCCCAAGCCTACAGTGTTCCAACATTAATTGTATGGACCGTATTAGCATGGCCGTCGCGGGGGGAGGGGGGGGGGGGGGGGAGGGGGGGGGCCGCAAGGGGGAACACTTGCGCCCCACCGAAAACAAAAAAAAACAAAAAGAGGTGCGAAGCCACATTGCTGTCATTTACATGGTGGGGGTGCCTAGGGCAAATGCTCCCCTGCTCACGCTGGAAAATGATAAATTGAGAATATAATTAAAAGTAACATTTTGCTTTGCCCCCCCCCAAAAAAAAAAAAAACCTGGCGACGCCCATGCGTATTTGCGTGCCGAATTAGCGCACGCGCACTATATACTCTCCCCCTGTTTACAGGGGAGAATTTAAAAAGAGACAATTTACCGTAAATAATAACTCCAGTTTCAACCGAAATACTCTACAAAAGAATCTGGTGGAAACTCAAGTAAAAGCGCGATCCATTCGATGACTCTAAATCATCTGGTCCTTCCGTTAAAGTTGTTAGGAACGAATCTTTACTTGCATAATGGAATTGTCTTATTTATGGCGCTGCTAACGACGGCGGTACAGAGTAGAATTTGATGCCGAGAATGTCGTGTCCTTTTTAAATCACTGTATGTTGCTCATTTCAAATACTCAGCTCATTTTGTGCACTCGGTATCTGAAACTGCAATTATTCATTATCATTTAGTGACAAAATTGTAACAAGCTGTGAAACATTCGTGGAAGTACATGCATGTTTGAAGTTCGACTTGCATGTTTTAATTATGCTTGAAGTTCGACTTGCATGTTTTAACCAAAACATGCGCAATGTTCAGGCCTATGCGTCTTCGTTCAAGCGAATCACAACACTGCTCTTCCGCACCGTGTCGTGACCCATTGAACTTCATTATAAAATTTGTTCACGCGGCATATGAAAGAAGAGCTCATGATTATTCAAAAGGTTAATATTCAACTGAACAAACCAACCATGTGACACTATCACGAATGGTACAGTTGCATTCCTTGACCCTGAAAATGTATGTTTAGACACCATTTTTGAATCCTAAGTGGCTCAGAAGATGAGATATAGGTAGATATAGTTTTTTTTTTAATGGCCACCGTCTTTAATCCAAGATGGCCGCCATAATGTAATTGAATAAGTTGGTCACTATCAAAAATTAAAAGCTAAGGCTATCAGGAGCATGTATGGAAATTCGGCGCTTTGTCCAGAATTTCCACATCCACTCACTAAGTTGCCTGACTAGTAGTAAACTTTGACAAAAGCAGGTCCAGTCGCCCTATTACATGTGTGCGGAATTTCATTTTCGAATTTTACAAAATGAATTAGGACAGAATTCATAATCTCCCTTAAGCGCGCCGCACACGTACGAGAGCTACGTGATGAGCAACAAGTCATCTGCCTCGTGTGGCCGTGAGCCAAATATCTCCTGTTTGATTTCTCTGGCCTAGCGAGGCGAGAAATTCACTGTGTGCGATCAACTCGAGCTACGAACTGAGCTAAAAAAAGACTAACTAACCAATAATAGCACATTATTATTGTTTGTCGCTGACGAAGATGGGACAAAATATATTAAAATACGTGTAAAAATTACGTGATTCCATTGGCTCGTCAATTTTGTTTTAGCCTCAGTAGGCCTTCATAGCTCAGCAAAAAATGACCGAAAACATGTACGGCGAGCTTAACATACTATAGTATGGCAGGAGAAATGGGTTCCCATGCATCCCCTTCCCCCTAAAACTAAATTCCAAGATATTTTTTAGAATCCCTTGGACATGCAATTAAAGGATTTTCATGTTGCCGGGAAAAAAATGTCCCATGATGCCCTAATTTGCATATTTCCAAGATGGCTGCCGTGCGAATAATTAAAACGTTATTAAGTGTCATAATCATATCATTGACTAATGAACCCAGTTTGATGCTCTTGGTGTCAAAAGTATACATTTTGGGAGTGCTCAATCGATATTTTCAGGTTTTAAAATAGATGGACAACTTTTGACCAAAATGACCTCGACTTTCGCCTAAATAACGTGATCTTGACGATCACGTTATTTAGGCAAAAGTCGAGGTCATTTCGGTCAAAAATTTGTCATTTTCATTTTCCCATCGCAATTACTTTTTTACATAGCTCCCATAGATATGGTGATACTGGCCTACTGAATGCTTTACAAACTACCAAGTCCATTTAATAAAGAAAACATGTTACATTTTATTTTGGAGTTATGGCTCAATATTTGACCCCAACACCCAAGTGTTGGGTATTGACCCAATGTTTTGGAAATCTTAAGATATAGCAGTGGATAAAAAGCTTACCGTTACATTTATATGTA